TCACATCATTTTGTGCTTTTACGTAGAGTCGAATGCAAAGGTTTGGTCAAATTCTATGTTTTGTTGATTTTCTAAGTGAAGATAATTTAACACATTCTAGCACATCCACATCGAACAAGCATTTTAACGCATAATTACTGAGTTTTACCTATTGGGAAAATATAAAACATAAAATCTGGCCTGTGCAAAAGTTACAGCACACTTTCTATTTTATGTGTTATTTTTTCTAATATGTATTACGTAAGCAAATAAATAAAAAATAAAATAAAAATAAGAAATGTGCTCTAAAATTTGCAGAAAAATGACATATTTATGTTGTATATTTAAGGATGTGTTACCTTATTGTCACTTAGAGAATCAACAAAGTGTAAGTTAACCAGTGGCGTTCAAACTTTTGTACGCTGGGCCTTGAATTTCGTACAGCCCTGTTTATTCTGTCCACTAAACACCAGCGTGAGCATTTCAGTGTAAAGGAGCTTAAAGATTGGACTTCAAATGGAGCTTTCTGTTCATTTTAATACAGAGCACTGTGTGTGCGCGAATGATACAGTGCAGCATTTGCAAACAGAGTGTGCTGGTAGTAATTGACCTCAGCGTTGGAATAAGTTAACCTTGACTCAGGCACTCGCAGCATCTTCAGAGGAGGCACCATGAATTCAGTGAAAGTGCAGGCGCACAACAGCGCCCTTTGTTTAGGCTTAATTACCAAATTATCTGCCTGAAGATGAGAGGGAGAGAATTATTATGCCTTCAAGACTTTCCCAGAGTCTTCCCTTTCTACACAGCCAGAGCGTATATGTATGCTTTTTGCCTCAGAAGATACACAAATTAGCTGTGCTGAATTAACTCCAAAATCCCCAGTGAGAGTAAAATATGTATAACTCTTCATTAGCGTGTATGATTTAATGCTCTCAATTATATAAATTATACTGCCATCCATGCATTTAATTGGACATTTGTAAATGAATTATTAATGCAGTAATGTATGGAGCTTTTTGCGCTTTTGTATTTGGGTTTCCTCAGAGATCACATCGTTTGTGAATTCTCAGCCGTAAGAGTCACGAATGCTTAACAATAATAATAATAAAAATAATTTAAAAAAAAAAGATTTGGTACCAGTCAAAAGTTTGGACACAACAACTCATACATCCTTACTTTCGCTGTGTTCCTCATATTAGATTTACAGTGAAGACATCAATAATAATAATAATAATAAAAAATAGTGACCAGAAACTGTTAAATGAATCAAACTGCCTTCTGTTTTAGAGTCTTTCAGAAGCAGCTTTACACTCATGGTTCTCTCAGGCAGCTTCATGAGGAGCCACCTGAGGTGCTTTTCCAACAGGGCTAAAGAAGATACAAATATCCTGAAAACCAGGAGTCCTGAAAACCAGGAGTCCTGAAAACCGCTCGCTTGGGGCATTTCAAATATGTACGGTTGTATGCAAAAGTTTGCGCACCCCTGGCCAAATGACGTTTTATTGATTTATTTAAGTGAAAGTAAGTAAACACATCCCCTCCATGGAACACACCTCTACACATTTATTTACATACACTTTATTTGCTGAATTAACATGTATCACGTGTGCAAAAGTTATGGCGCATCTTATATGTGCAGTGAAATTTTCAGATGAATGTTATATTTGTAATTTTACCAGAGGTGATTATTTTATTGTATTATATTCATTTGCAAAATACTGACACAGAATACCAGCACATTTGATTTACAGCCTGTGTGGGAATTTCTGACTACATATATATATATATATATATACACAAAATACACAATTTAGTTCATCTTCTGAGCTCGTTAGAAGCATTACATGAATTTCACTTCTATCACAAATTACTAATTATACTGAGCTTCTTTAAGGAGATGTTAGAAATACATATGCAGACACAAATCATGACAACTTTGTATAGCATCATTAACTTGTAATGGAGGTTAATGTAATAATATTTTTTCCAAGTAATTGTGAACCATTTCGGTTGGTCCATTCATCATGAATTTTAACACAGTTACCTATTATCTATAAAAAAGACTAAAACAGATAAAATACACTTTTACAATAGTAATACTACTACTAATAACAATGTTATTATCATTAATACATTATTAATAAATAGAACAGATACACTATATATCAACATCATCTAAACAGGTGGATCATTGGTACTGTGAAACAGGAAAAAAAATGATGTTAAAACAAAATAAGAGTGTGGAGAGGTGTGTCCGGTTTGCTGTATGCATGTACAAAAACCCTACAATACTGTACAGTAATGCTTGTTTTGTATTCCAGATAATATGATCTATTTGCCATGGCTTTGCTCTAAATAGCCCAGAAACCTATTAGCAGTGTAAAGCTACTTTTGCTCCGATTACGCCTCCGCACGGAAATCGTCAAACATTCCCACACAGGCTGTGATTCAAATGCGCTGGTATTCTGCAAGTGAAACAGCCAACAAGCTGGATGATTTAGTGCCGTACGCGCTGTAGCAGCCTAACTGCAGCGCTCAGAGTCGTCTCCCTCCCTCTCGGCCTGTTCTCAGCCGCTGTTTCTCTGTCGTGGAAGAGGGCACGGAGTGGCCATGTTGTGACACAAGAGAGGAACCTCGGCTTTCTCTAAATTCCTCCTGATCACAGAGCGTGTGGGGGGGGCAGTGAGGAGGGTAACCTGATCCTGTAAAAAGGCATCGGGGGCAACCTCCAAAGCTCCACCGTCACGTGGTACCCGCATATCGCTCCATAATCCCCTCCGGGCCGGGCGGTGGGGGGTGGGAAAAGAAAAAAAATAGTAATTGTAGACAGGAAGTCATCACTTAATTATTTAGAGGCATTATCGGTGAGGCAGGGAAGGCGAGGGGAAGCGTCCCGGCTCATCCTCCTTCAGTCCGATACCTTTGGGGAGAGGAGGCGAGCAGCCATCATCTTCTCATATTCTCTAATGCAAACAGTAAATGGCAGCTTGTCAATAAAAGACCTTTTTATGTCATTTATTACCCCACACTTCCTCATCGCGCTGTACAGAGCAATTTGGGTGACAGTTACGGCATTGTTTCACTTTGCGTTAGCCATGCACTACAAATGGGCTGGCGTACGCGCGCAGGGGCGAGCGCTGAAATGATTGAAGTTCTCTCTCTCTCTCTTTTTTTGACACCCCTCCTTTATATATTTATTTATTTACCTTGCCACTTTTTATTGAAGTTGCATATTTCTTAACCAGACTTAGAGTGCCCCCTTGAGTTAATAGAAGAATGTAGAACCAAGAACTGTTGTTTGTATTTTAATGCCACTTGATCTTTGATATTTTTATCTGTTTTTTTAAAAACCTCTTAAACTAAAGATGTGACTTAGTCGTATGAATAGAGTTTATATAGATGTCCAGCAATTTTGTTTTTTTTTTTTTTAGGTGCTGATAAATGTTAGACTTTTTTTAATTGCTTATCTTATGCATAAGATCTTTCTAAGATGAGGAAAAGGGGTTAAAATATGTGACCTGAAAATTACTCGGCATCACAACACATTATGTTGCGTTGAGGTTATTTACCATGCCGAAGCGTACGCGCAGACGTGGCTTGCATGGCGATGGTGAAGCTGAGCTTTAAAGGCTCCGTTCAGCGGCTGTCCCCTCACATTTAGTATGCTCCACAGAATTCTTTACTTAACCCAAACACGGAGCAGCGTTCTGAAAACATTGATCTGTGTTTGGGTTAAATGACGGAGGTCGGAAGGCATACTAACCAGGCGCCAGGTGCGGGTGCTCTTAGTGCAACCGTATAGTCAAATTTAGGGCTGATACTTCTGCAGATTTTGTTTACATTTTTTGCTTTATGAGACGATGACTTTGTTCAGTCTGAAATTCCTGAATTGCTTGAAATTTGAAAATTGCAGAATTAACCTTTTTTTTTAAGGGCTACCGTTTATGTGCAATTGGCAAAAAAGAATGTGTTTAAAAAAATGAATAAATGAATAAATAAAACAAGAAGAAAGTTCTGCACTTGCTTAAATGAATGAAAGTATTTATTAATGGCACAGAAAAAAAGCCCACACTTGTTCCAGAACACCTTGTGTTTATGCTAAACAGTGCTGCTAATTATATGAAACCACCCACTTTTGATGGGTCACGGTTACCAACAGGACCAGTCATCGACCATGTACAGTATATATCAACGTCAAACGGACAAAAATGTACATTTTTACTACCTACAAAATTTGGATTTGCCTCGTTACACGGGAAAAACAAAATGTCAGCTAGAATGAAGAATTTGTGAACATAAGTGTGCAATTAGAAACAATGATCTTTCTCCATTAGCCAGACATTTTAATATATTTTAATAAAGTAGGCCAATTTTAATGAAGCAGGACATGATGCTAACTCATTGCTTACAAATGATGAATCAGTTGCCGAAGGGCGAAATATTGAATTTATAATTTTACATTTAATTCAATGATGCATATATGTTTGATAAATATTCGTGTGTATGTAGTGGACATTCAGTTTGATTTATACTATATTCCATCAGTTTGGGATTGGTCTTGTTGGTAACTGACTCATAAGTGGGTGGGTTCATATAATTAGCAACACTATTTAGTGTGTAGGTGTCTACAATGTCATTAACAAGCTGAGGACGGCTGTGAGCCGAAATGCGTCTGTGCTTTTTCCTGTGAACTCTGTGAATTATAATTTGATATAGTAAAATAATAGTCATAAAATGCTGTTCAACCTATTATATATTTGCAGTAAGCTGAAGGACTTTATGTTAATTAGTTGCAGTTTGTGTTGCATATATAGCAATTTACCATTACATTATATTCCATAGTAAAATTCAGAATTTTACAGGCTGTACTGTTATAAAACATCATCAAACCAGTCAAAATCCATGAATCTGTTTAGTCATTAACATCGTTACACCATACTATGCAAAACTAATCCATTCATTACTGAGTATCTTTTATTGTAATTAGGTCCTGTATGTTTGTGTCTGTGCTGCTTTTGCAGGGTTGCAGCCTCACACTGACTACAGCTTCCTGCTCACGGCCTGCACAGCAGCCGGCTGTGGAGCAAGCCAGCCATCTATGGGCCGCACGCTGCAAGACGCACCGGCAGGTTAGTGCATCTCTCATAGACATGCACAGCACTGTGTCACACTTACTGCCTCCCCGTCAGGCTTATTCTCTACCTGCACCTTCATGGACAGTGGTCAGAAATATGGACATCAAGCTGTCAAAGCATCAATTTTACAAATTGGGGAAAAAATGAAACATAAAATGCAGCCTGTGCTGAAGCTATTGCACATTTTATACAGTTTTATTTGAACTCAGCAAGCAAATAGAAATTGTGCACTAAAATTAGCAGAAAAATGCCATATTTAAGTTGGTTCCCTGCAGAGGATGTTTTATTTATTTATCATTTATTTTCATTTAGACAATTAACAAAGTCATTTGACCAGACATGTTCAAACCTTTACGTACATCTGTATTCATTTTATTTTCTAAATCAGATGCTTTACTGTGGTGGGAAAATGAGATGAAGCTTTACAGTTCCCCAAATCTCACAATTTATTTATTTTTTATTTTTTACATCATGTAATATGGAAAAAAATAACCTCACAGTACCTGTGGTCATATTTACAGTACATTGTATATGTCTCAATATTTTGTAAGTTGGATTGAACAAAATGAACCATCAAAACAGTATTTTAAAGGTGCCACAGTGGGTTCTTTGAGAGATACCATAGTTTTGGTTCTCAAGGAGATTAAAGAACCTTTCACATTCCGGCACATTTTTCAGAATTTCTGCATGATTAGTTATTGAGTTGTGAAAAAAAGAGTGGTATGGTGTGGAACGGTACATTAGAGAGAATATTTCCAGTTTACAGTGGTGGTGATAGGAACCAGGGGTCATGAAGTCCACAGTGCAATTATCACCATTTTATTCGCTGTTTATCACATCTGGAGTCCTGATATGTAACAATGATGGTAAAATAGTGGTAAATCTGAAGGAGTGAGTGATGTCCAGGCATCAGGCCGTGTGTTCATAACCATTTCATATAATATGTTTCTGTGGGGGAGATTTTAGAGGCTTTCAGTAATTATTAAATCAGTAAGTTTATCTAAAATTTGCATCAAACCACTCCGAATGTTTACAGTGCAGTGATTAAATTACGCAGAAATTTTCAGTGAAACTTCCCTTCAGATGTTTAAAGACGTTTCACATAATGTCATGGTTCCATACCAGTTTAAAGGTCTGTCGAAGAAGCTTTGCTTTATGTGGAAATTTTTAAATGTTTTTTTTTTTGATTAAGGTCTTTTTATTAAAGATTTCACAAAATACAAAAGACAAACAGTCCCATATCACGAGACCCAACCATCCCACCCACCCTCCGGACCTACATCAGTAAGACAAAGCTGTGTAGATTCTTTACCGCTTCTATAAAGAACTGAGACATTGTAACTTAAAATAAATAAATAAATATTATGGAGCCACATTTTCGGCTTTCATTGTATCCACATATGTCAGGAAGGGCTGCCAGTCCTATAAAATCTCTGTACAGATCCTTAAAGAGAGCATCTCATCTTCTCCAACTTGAGATATTACATAAACTCTTTGATCCACTGAGAATAATTAGGGGGAAGAGGGTCTTTCCACCTAAGCAGTGTTAATCATTGGGTATCTGGTGGTGCATCACCAAATAATGCACTATAAGGAGAGTAGCTTATTGGTTCTTCCAGATTTTTAGAGAGTATAAAAAATACATTTCCAAAAGTGATGTAATCTTCATGTCTAGAGATTTTTAAACGTTCTAAATGGATTTTCACACTAATACATCTTTTTTACAGAAGTGGTTCCCTAAAGAACCATCCATTGAAAGGTTCTTTAGGGAACCAAACGTGGTTCTTCTATACTATCGCCCAAAGAACCCTTTCTGGCACTTTTATTCTGAAGACTTTAAACATGTTTTCAACACTGATTAAAATAAACTATTTAAAAAGAAGCAGAGTAAAATAACAAAAGGTAAAAATAAATTCATAAAATAAGATCAGCTACCTGTTATACAGTCACTGTTGTTGTTTACAGGCTTTCTGTAATTACGCTGAATACATGCAGAAATGCTAACGATAACCATGATAAACTCAGAAAAGCGTATTGTGACCAAATTCATCACAGTAATGATAATATATCATCATATTGCGCAGCTCTTATCATATCTTCACATGTAATTTGCTTTATTACTGTGTTTTAGCTGAACTGTAACACAGCCCGTTCTCTCTCTCTCTCTCTCTCTAGGTGTCTGGGCGGTACCCAGGCATGTATTGGTGAACAGCACAGCTGTAGAGCTCTACTGGAGCGAACCGCTTGAGCCCAATGGCCTGCTGACCCGCTACCGCCTCCTGCGGGACAGAGAAACGGTCTTCAGCGGCGGTCCAGAAGCAACCAACTACACGGATGCTGGCCTGCAGCCCAACACCAGGTCCTGTCTGCCGCCCATCTTTAGCGAGCTATTAGCAGTTGATTATCGATGACACCTAATCCTCCATGTGTCTTAAAGAATCTTTCCGCTCCCCTCCCCACGAAGAGCGAGCCTCTCTGATACCAAATCATTAAAAGTTTTGAAGGGAGGGCTGGGCTGGCTAATAAGCAGCAGTGCTGGTATCGATCCAGTGCTCAGGCTAGAGCTGGACTGAAGAGGTATAGTTGAGTACAGCTTTGTTGAATGCATGTGGTTGAGTGATTCATGCCATCATGGATCCTGTGTAGAATAAATGGGGTATCTATATACATACACCGATCAGCCATAACATTATGACCACCTCCTTGTTTCTACGCTCATTGTCCATTTTATCAGCTCCACTTACTGTATAGGTGCACTTTGTAGTTCTACAGTTACAGACTGTAGTCCATCTGTTTCTCTGATACTTTATTAGCCCCCTTTTACCCTGTTCTTCAGTGGTCAGGACCCCCATGGACCCTCACAGAGCAGGTACTATTTGGGTGGTGGGTCATTCTCAGCACTGCAGTAACACTGACGTGGTGGTGGTGTGTTAGTGTGTGTTGTGCTGGTCTGAGTGGATCAGACACAGCAGTGCAGCTGGAGTTTTTAAACACCTCAGTGTCACTGCTGGACTGAGAATAGTCCACCAACCAAAAATATCCAGCCAACAGCGTCCTGTGGGCAGCGTCCTGTGGCCACTGATGAAGGACTGACAAGGTAGGAGTGTCTAATAGAGTGGACAGTGAGTTGACACTGTGTTTAAAAACTCCAGCAGCACTGCTGTGTCTGATCCACTCAGACCAGCACAACACACACTAATACACCACCACCATGTCAGTGTTACTGCAGTGCTGAGAATGATCCACCACCCAAATAGTACCTGCTCTGTGAGGGTCCATGGGGGTCCTGACCACTGAAGAACAGGGTAAAAGGGGGCTAACAAAGTATCAGAGAAACAGGTGGACTACAGTCTGTAACTGTAGAACTACAAAGTGCACCTATATAGTAAGTGGAGCTGATAAAATGATAGAATGAGCGTAGAAACAAGGAGGTGGTCATAATGTTATGCCTGATCGGTGTATATATATAGATACCCCATATATTTTATACCAGGTAGGATCTATGATGGCGTGAATCACCAAAGGAAATTAGAAAAAAGTCTGGTTACACTGATTACATTAAAAGTAAAGTACTTCTGTAACATCAACATAAACATATTAATTCATTACTCAGCTGAATAATTTGGATAATTTATTGTTTGATAATTTATTTATTTCCCAAATTATTGACAGATTTTTGTCCAGGAAGAGCACTAGTTTCTTATTACCACAAGGGTTCAAATTAAGGCTAAAATTACAGGCCAACGAGCCACAAATAGCGCAAAACACCTTTACAGTTTACCTTAAAATTGGTAGATTGGTAGAAACAGGTACACTTGCTTTAACCACAAGACACAGTGTCTGGTTACCCAATGTAAGCTATATAAAATTAGCTCAGGCTCATTCTTACTTAGTTAAAAGCAAGAAATGAGCGCTGCATGCAAAACCTGACACAGAATGAACTCACATAACTGACCTAGTTATTTTTCTAATTTAGACCAATAGTTAGTTAAATCTGCCCTTGTGGATTCATTTGTGACATAGCGATTAATACGGTTTGTCAGAATATGAAATAAATGCAGTTATCAAACAAATCAACAAAACAGCTGCTCTACTTTGCCAAAACTTCACTCACAGTAACTTCACAAGAATACCACTGCTGTCATAATAAGAGTTTAGTCTTAATGCTATTGCTAATACTAGTACTATTACTACTTACCACTTACTACTACCAAGAGAAATAATATATAAACAATTATTATTATTGTTGTTTTTGTTGCTGGTAGTAGTTTGTACTGGCAGAAGAATTGCTAATAAACAGACTAAGATAGGACACTTTTTTTGCTTGAGGTTCCTGATATAGGCCAAAAAACTGTTTTAATCACAATTTGAAAATCTGAAAATCACAAGAGCTGCAGTTTTAATTAAATCCTAAATTATTTGCAGTGATCTTAACAAGTTTTAAGGGAAGAAACTTAACCTAATGCCACTGAGCTTGTGAACAGACATTCAGGAACACTGCATTCAGCATTAGATGTGTTGGTTTTCCTGGAGTAGCCTAGAGCTTAATTGAAAAATAGTCGCATGCAAATTGAAATATTGGTCAGAAAAATTGCAGATAGACCACAAAACATCTATATGTAGAAAAGGAGAGGAACATGAGTACTTTTCACACAAGGTGATAGGGCAGAATAAATCTGGGAAAGAGACGATCTATTTATATTGATTATTTTCAGCTGTTATTAGCATTTTAGAATTCTCATCGTATGTTATGGACATTTGAAGTGTGGTCGGTTCCAAATATCAGATTTTTCATGTGTGTGATCAAAAATGCATCTTGAAGCCACTCTCTAATCGTAAAACACACACATTGTATGCTTTTGGATTGTTTTGTTTATGCAATATAGCGAGTAAATATTTGAAAAGGCTGGCTGTGTCGAATAAGCAGCTTAAGATACAATATAAATCTGTTTGTTTTCATTATGTTATCTGCAGGGAGAGATGAGAAAATGCTCAAGTTGTCATTCAGAGCTTCACTGGTGATGCTCTCATGCGTTTATTTATTTATTTATTTATTTATTTATTTATTTCCCTGCCCATCCATGTCGACAGCACAGATTCGAGCTGTCAAAGCAATCAGTGCACTCTGATTGGACAGTTTGGATGGGTCACCAGCCTTCTTCTCCATAACCACCTACCCCCCTCTTTTCCCACCGGTTTGTTTATATTGTGGCTTCAAAGAGAGTCGCAGCGAAGCATGACGTTTAATTTGCCGTAATTCCAGATGACCTGCCAGAAGGCATTCCCCTCTCTGCTTTTGGCCCCTTTTCTCTTTCTTTGTCCAATTTAGCTCTGCAAGGAGAGCTACAAAGGCTGGCGGCCGCTTCATTATCCAGCGGGGCTACAGGGGGACGCATGAGACGGCTAACCGAGGGGCCGCGCTCATCGATTATTTATGACAATGTTGATTAGCTGTCACATACCTCACCACGGTAGAAAGTGTGTCTGATGAGTGAAATATTAAGTCCCAGCCCCCATCATCACCACCACCACTTCTGGGAGAACCTGGTAGCCATACACTGCTTCCTTTGATGCAGCACAGTTTGCAAAGTCAGAAACCAGCTTTAATTTACTCAGTTTCCAGTCAGAACAGCATGAAGAACAAATTATTTGTTTTTCAACACAGGAAACATGTTTAGCAGAAAATTACGACTAAATTTAATTACATTTCTTCAGTATTTAGTCTGTCCATCTTTTGTCTTTATTCCAGCTGCCATTCTTTTCAGGAGACTCGCTTTCAGTTTTTCACAGAAATCTTTCCACACCTCCAACATTCTGTCTGAGAGGTTGGCTGCATTTATGGTTTCTCAAAATCCAGGTTATCCCAAACATATTCAGTGATGTTGGGATCTGGACTTTGGGGTGGTCAGTTCATTGTTCTAAGACCACCAGCAGCTTTTTGGTTTGCAAACTTTTTCTTCTTGACAGCCATTAAACAGATGACAGTGAACAACTCTGTAGAGTCACTCACCTGCATGCTCAAAAATAAGGGTGATCTGGAGTGACACCAGAGAAAAACCTGTCTGCTTCTCTGAAGAACCTTTAAATAAATAAATTGTGACAGTGTGAAGAATCTTTTTGAAGTTTGAAGAATCTTCATATAATGTAAAGGTTCAATACCAATTAACCATCTATTGATCGTTAAAACAAACAGTTAAGAAACAGTTAAAAAGGGCCTTTTTGGAATATGTTGCCTTGAGGCAACACTGTGTGACAGTGGAAAGGAATGGTACAGTAACTCAGGAATTATACAGTTACACATATATCAGTTAGACAGATGCAGACCTACACATACTACAGTTTATTTGCAGCAGTCTGCAGTGGTCAAGACATCTCGCACTTGCAGTTTACAAATATGTGCATAAAGCATGTCAGGTGTCAAATCTGATGATATGACAGTCTGTATCACTTTTTTCATTGTTGCACTATGTTGCCTTAAGGCAACATTCCCCAAAAAGACCTCCACATTTTTACTGTTTTTGATTTTAACAATCAGTAGATGGTTAATTCATATAGAACCTTTACATTGTATGAAAATTCTTTAAAAAGATTCTAATGTCTCAATGTATTTATTGAAAGGTGCTTTAAGTAACCAGTGATCTTCTATGGAGTGACACCAGAGAAAAACCCTATGAACCCTACAAGATGAAATTATTTTTTAGCATTTATTTTATTCAAAGATTTTGTGGTTCAAATGATATAGTTTCTCAGTTTTGAGGCAGCATTGAGCGACAATGGAAAAACACTCTTTCTTATATGACAGTCTGTATCACTTCTTTCCATTGTCGTGCTATGTTGCTTCAAGGCAACATATCCATAAAAAGACCTCCACATTTTTTGATTTGGTTTTAATAGTCACTTGATGGTTAGTTTGTTTAGAAACTTTACGTTATATAAAAGTTCTTCAAAAAGGTTCTAATAATGTCACAATATATTTAGGTTTTTCTCGGGCTCTCCAAAGATCCTTTATTTTCAAGAGTGCAGGTGAGTGACTGAGAGTTGTTCACCGCTTAAATCATTAGTTATTGATATGATTTAAAGGTGTTCACTGTCAGTTGGTTAAAAAAATGAGATACAACATTCCCAAAGTGGTTCCTCGTTCAGCCTTTTCCTCCGGGGCTTTAGCATCTGTTGGGTTGGATTGATCCACAAAACTCTTTGAAATGTCAACATCCAAACAAACATTGTCTGTTGGCTGTCTGTGTGTGAATTACTGTGGTCCTTTCAGACCCATAGCATTGAGTTCTTCTCACAGTGGAAGGATGGACAGGAACACTGGAGGTTGATGTTTTCCTCTCTGATGAAACCTTTAAGTGCTCCTTATCTGATGGTGACAGTTGCGCTGGTCTACCAGGTCCTGCACGGTTGTAATGAGTCCCTTTTTCTCGGTGTCTTTTAATCATTTTTTGAACTCCATTTTTGGAATCTTCTGTTTTTTCCACTTATTTTCCTTTGGCGTTCCTCTTCCTTATCTAATATCAAATCTTCTCAGCAATATCTCCTGAAAAATGAATAAATAGTACTTACTGGTTATTTTGACTAGATATTGGATGAATGAAGGGACAGAATTATAAATCAGAATCGGAATCGCAATCAAGCTTTATTGGCCAGATTTGCAAGGAATTTGGTTTTGGTTCCAGGAGCTCACAGTGCACAGTATCAGACAGACATTTACATAAATAAAATAAAATAAAATATGCGTTCCTACCATCACTCACTCATACACACACAGTCATACCTGTAAACCTTACATTGTGCAAAGTATATGCCTTAAGTTAATAATATATATATCAGTTATACACATACACAACTACACATACTACAGTTTATTCATAGCCATGTACAGTTGAGACATCTTGTGCTTGCAGTTTGCGAATGTGTGTGTAAAACGTGTCAGGTGACAAATCTGCAGCGCTAATGCATTTTATTGCCAGTGATGAGAGCAGTATATGATGGCTGATGGGCTTATTTTAAAGGGATAGCGCTGGAACAATAGTTAATGCGTAGGTATTAATGGCTGTGTATGGAGTTTATGGCAAATTAAAAGCCTCGAATGTTCAACATGACCCACTTACATTGCCAATGCAGACCTTTGCACTGACACCTCTTGCTGTTTAAAAGCTAAATCTATCTTGTGAAGTCATGTATGTCTTAAAAGAGCTTTCCTGCAGGCATTTTTATACCCTGCACCAAGCATTAACGTGCAGACACACACACACCCACACACACACACACACACCCTCACCTTCCCATTCATATGCATGTCTGTGTGGAGTATCTATCAGGCCTTTGAAAGATCACGGCAGAGGCACTGATCAGCATTGCATTAACACTGTCATCTGTTTAATGGCATCACCCTTTATCGATCCACTGGGGAGCTTTAGGCTGCGCTGTTAAAGTGGAATTAACAGCAAGCATTTCCATTAGAGTATTTGGAGTATTTTAGGCATGGAAGATGTATCTTGATATTAAAAATGGCAAAAATCCATATAGCAGGTTAAGAAGATGCACTTTAAAAAATAAAGGTTCCTAAATAGCTTCTAAAAACCTTTAATCCTCGTTTGCAAAATGTTGCCTTAAGGTAACAAACCTATTTTCCTTACTTTACAATGATGTGATACATATTTAATGACAATGAAAGGGTTAAACATTAGGGGAATGAAGGGAATGAAGGTGTGAATAAACCAATAAAAAGCTTTCAACACATTCAGCATTATATAAGTAAATTGAATGTTATATAAATATCTAAGTTGCCTAGAAGCAACACTGTGCAGCAGTTAAAAGGATATAGCCAGTAGCAAACAAAGTGAGAACGTTGCAGTTATTGTTTAGTTTTTATTTTTTAATTTATTTTTAAATTTTATTGTGTTTTTGTTTATTTAGGAAATCTCATTTTGTTTATGCAATATTAGTGGCTAGAAGCCCATTTTGGTCAATTGTGCCGCAGTCAGTACGCACCGACTAGTGTCATTAAACTGTGTAGAAAATTAAATCCAATTCTGATAATTAAATTTGCTGAATTCTTTTTATGTGTTAGCATGATTTTGATCATGGTTTTAGATGAATGTTTAATGTGAAAGACATTGAAACATTGTTTCATAAAATTTCAGTGTGGTAACGTTTTATTTGAAAACGACATGAAGTAGAACGGGTCTTTTTTTAGCATTCATAATATTCAGGTAATATTCAGAGATTATGTGGTTCATCTTTAACAACAAATTATGTAGATACTCAGTTTTGTTCCAGAGATTTAGATGGAAAATCCCTCTTCTTATATAATCCCTCTTCTATGAAGTTTCTTTCCGTTGTCGCACAATGTTGCCTCAAGGCAACATACCCCAAAGTTTTTACTGTTTTTGTTATTTTGATTGATTGATTTTAATAATCAGGTGCATTTTATGCAGGTAAATCCAACATATTTTTAAAACATTGCTCTCATTATGCAATAGATGGTTAATTGCTATAGAAAGTTTAAATTATATATAAGTTATTTAAACTTTAAAAAGGTTCTTCACATTCACAAGTCACTCCAAAGAACCACTGCATTGTTTACCACCTACAGTTATTTAAACGATTTAAAAGTGTTCTTCCGGTGCTTTAGCAGCTGTTGGGTTGAATTAAGCCATGAAACTCTTTGAAATCTCAAATCCAAAATGGAAACGCTGTCTGTCGGCTGTCTCTGAGTGAAATATATTGACTGTCTGTTGTGCTGTTAGTGAGCAATGAGGGGCGAAAAACAATTCACACGTCTCCGCAAAGACAATTTCAGTTAAACACAATAAAAATTGTATTTAAACTAAAAAAAAACACTAATAAATGTTGACTCACTTGCTCACCTATGAAGTCGAAAATCTAGTTTGCTGGCTTCTGTAAATCATGCATTTTTACATCAAAATATATTCCGATTTTAAGCATTATTGAAGAAGACAAGGCATAGTTTAACGGGGGCCTCCAAAACAGGTGGAAAAATAATATTTCATGGCTACTGTATAAAAAGGGTTAAACCATCATTTTTTAAATGCATGCTTTTTGCGTGTGTGTTGATAAATTAAAAAAGGATATATCTTTTTTTTGTTTAGCACAGCCACAGGTTTTGTATTTTTGCTAATGGTTGTGACTGATTTATTATCAGAATTATAAATGTCATATTTATGCCACTACATTATACAATCTGAGAATATATTTACAAGAAAGAGTTGCACTAGGATTGGATCCACAATACTGTCTATGTTTTAACAAGCAATGATACACTTTGACTTCATCTCTGTTTCCTAACTGCAGGTAGATCTTCACACCAGAGCTGCAGTTTCATTTGCGATTCTGTTTGAACAGGTACGTCTACGAGTTGGAGGCCGGCACTGGTGGTGGGAGCAGCCTGAGCAGCAAGTATGTCATCCAGACCCCCGTCTGGTCCCCTGAGAGGGTCCCTGCTCCGTATAATGTCAACGTCTCAGGCCCGCGCTCCGTCTTTGTCGCCTGGTCACCCCCAGGTAATGTTTACACCCTAATGCACAAAGCAACCTCTCTATTTAGCACTCACTCAGGGGTGATTTATCCGCGCTCTGGCCAGAGAGAGTGTCGGCGTGCGGGGAGGGAAAATTTACGAGGAGCGCGGTGAGGAATTTAATGCGGACCGATCGTGGTCACAGTACACTTTGGTCAGTGTGGGCAGGACGTAGATGGCTGCAGCCAATCAATTAGCTCGACATTCAAACTCCAGTGACGGCTTCCCCAACATTAGTGTGAATTAATGTGGGGCTGTTTAAAGTGTGTTTGTGTTCTGTCTCCTGCGCGCTGCCTTTCACTGAGCTGTTCATGGCTGTTTTTTTGTTTTTTACCTTAGCTTTCACTCCCTTTCTACAAACCCAATTCCAGACATCAGGTATAATATAAATAAAAACAGAAGGGACTGTCTTTACAGGTATTGAACTGAAAACAGCACAAAGAAGAGATATTTAATATTTCACCTTATACAACAGTGAGTTCCGGCCACGCAAGCTGATTGGTTGAGAAGCGTTCTAACTGTGCTGTTATTTCACCATAACATCACGTTTTTTTTCACAAACACTGTATCACTCCGCTGAGACGCCGTTGCTAAGTAACGACTTTGACAGCTGTAGGAGACGCTCAAGACTTTTGAACGTTTTTACTTCTTACTTTGCCACAAACAGAAAACGGACACTTTTAAGATCACATTTGACCGACAGCCGATTTGGTCAGACTCTGAAGATGAGACGACACTAAATTCCCAAACTGTCATCACCACTGAGCAGCTTTTCAGTCGGCAGCTGAGACAGAAGAACAGCTGAACAACCTGGAATCAGCCAGAAATTAACCCAACACCATTCGCCAAACTAAATGGGCTGTAAGATGCTTTACAGACTGGCTGGAACAAAACAACATTAATATTGATCTGGAAAAACTGACAAAACTGAGCTGAACTTGATATTGCGGCAGTTTTATAGCTCAGTACTTCAGAAGGCGAGGCTTACAGCAGACTGTGCAGCGAGTGGGCGGAGCTCGTTACTCTGACGTAGCAACAAGCTGCTCGTTAAGGAACTATAATTTGGTGAAGGAACTGTGAACATTAAAACATATTAAACGCCGCGTTCACGGCCCAGTTTATTAATTTATTACTGTATTTATTTAACTGTTGTATTAAAGCAGTAGAACACTCGAGGAGTGTGTTATCGCCAATAACATCACGGCTGTGATGATCTAAGTTCAGGGTGTTCTGTTCTCCAGGCCAAAGAGGAAAAGTACCAGTATATAAAGATAAATTAGAGAGATAAAAGTGACATAAAATGCTAAAATTACTAACGTTTCTAATAACCCTGCATTTGCATTGATCCATTGTGGTAACACTACACGGCAGATCCCATTCATCTCCTGAAGGAAGCATCAGATTTTTCACACTTGGGCTGTGTCTGAAACTGAAGGCATCAGCCTTGCTGCCCTATACTGTCTCATTGCCTTGGAGGGCAGCAGTGTGATGAAGATATCTGCTGTTGAATCGTGTGTGAGACATGCTGTGAAGATGGTGATACGTCATGATATTTCCAAGATACTCACAGCTCACTGCTAGCCGTTAGCATTAGATATTAGCAGCTTTCATCCAGTAAAAGTCTTTTAACCCTTAAAACCTGCATTTTGGGGATTCTTTGGTATTTTTTGGGTCAATTACAATTGCAATTATAAAGTATTTACATGTGACAGTCACACAGGCCATATGTTTTTATTTTCAGGAGACCCTGGGCTACTCAGATATGCCATTGTTTGGCATGAAAATGCTAACAAATTTGATATCTTTATGAATTTGGGTCATTTCTGATCAAAAATGTACCCAGCGCCTGCTAAATTTTGTATTTTTTTAATTATAGAGATCTTGAAAACAGGTGCAGTCATAGTTATCTTTTCAGAAATTGTTAGTCTGGAGTGTCTGTGAGCTGAAAGTGCAAGAATGTTGATGGTGATTCATTCTGTTGGTTATTATGAGTAAAATTAAACAATTAGCATAAGGCGGACATGTTTTTTATTGGTTTACTGTCCTGTTGGATTCAGGCTCAGTGCTAAAACTCTGATACACAGCAAGACAGGTTTTATCAATGTAAACTGAAAGCCCTTTGTTTATAATATGAAGGCTGAAAGCAGAGATGTAGTATAACAGTAGCGAGAGGGTTTGGGTGATTTTGGAGCTGATCTCTGGCTGATGGACGGTCACAGGTGGATGAAATCACTGTGGATGGTGAGGCAGAGTCTGATGAGTGATCTGATGTGTGAATCATGATGCTGTTTTAACCCTTTGTTGGAATATAAAGGCCAAACAGCAGAGCAATAATATCAGGATTTTAGGTGAATTTCTAAGCCGAATTACTCACTGATGCTGATGTCACAGCTCAATGATGTCATGCTTGCTAGTTAGTTGTGGGTCTGCTGAATGCCCTGATATGTGGATCTTGTTTGTATCTTAAACCGTTCTGAGGTTATGAAGGCTAGAAGTGACCTACTGACATTTTAGAACCAATTATACTGTGTAGTTATTCTCCACTGTAACAGTGCTGTTATTTTTTCCTAACCACATCGGTGCTGACACAACGGATCATGGGATGTGTAAGGCTGCTGGTCTGAGTGGATCAGACACTGCAGTGCTGCTGGAGTTTTTAAACACTGTGTCCACTCACTGTCCACTCTATTAGACACTCCTACCTTGTCGGTCCACCTTGTAGATGTAAAGTCAGAGACGATAGCTCATCTGCTGCTGCACAGTTTGTGTTGGTCATCCTCTAGTCCTTCGTCAGTGGTCACAGGACGCTGCCCACAGGACGCTGTTGGCTGGATATTTTTGGTTGGTGGACTATTCTCAGTCCAGCAGTGACACTGAGGTGTTTAAAAACTCCAGCAGCACTGCTGTGTCTGATCCACTCAGACCAGCGCAACACACACTAACACACCACCACCACATCAGTGTTACTGCAGTGCTGAGAATGATCCACCACCCAAATAGTACCTGCTCTGTGAGGGTCCATGGGGGTCCTGACCACTGAAAAACAGGGTAAAAGGGGGCTAACAGAGTATCAGAGAAACAGATGGACTACAGTCTGTAACTGTAGAACTACAAAGTGCACCTATACAGTAAGTGGAGCTGATAAAATGATTGGTGTATTCTGTTATGTATTTTTTTTCTGAAGGTTGCTGCTTAGTTGAACCCTTTCACTAATGTTCTCTACGGTCGGTCTCTGGTGAACTACTGAGATGTGTGCCTGAACTAAAGCTGTTATGTGGAACGTGCTGTCCTTGCCGTGGCCCTGCGCTCATCATTTCTGTGTCATTCTGCAGCCCACTGGTCTCCGCTGATCAATCAGCGCATGTGTTTGCAGTCGCAGGCAGCGGTGGGCCCATCTGCAGGGTCCCGCTGAGCATTGTGGGGCTGCCAGGGCTCAGCGTTCTCCCTCCTAGAGAGCACGAACACAAACAAGCAAGCGAGCGAACAAACAAATAAATGCCCCTCCCCCCCCCGCCCCCGCCCCCCCATTCTCCCTCCTCAGTGTTTGCTTCAGTATTGCTTCAGTCGGGCTGACACGAGCTCATTCCCATTCAAACCCTGCACGCTCACACCTATTACACTGTCCACCTGCTGAGGAAGAAGAGGAAGGGAGTGCGTACCGGCGCGCTGGTGTCTGTTCTCGCCAAGCCGCTCATGCGTGGAGGTGGGTGTGAGCGCGCTCGTCCGCATATTCATGCACGCTACCGCCGAGCAGCCCTGATTGTCTGCCTCAGATGGTCCATCTTTTGTTATTATTGTCTCATTAGGCCTCTTTCCTGTGAGAAGAACCTGTTCAGAGGCTTCAATTATACCTAAAGAGGCCTTAACTAGACCCAGTGCCCACTGAAAACATTTACATAGCCTGGATTATTTATTGACTTTACATTCAGAGAGGCCGAAATACGTAAAAAAAAGAAAATCTATGGCTTTAAAGCACAATCTCTCACGCTTGGTTAAGTCGGGACGCACAGCCGGCCGCAGGCTCCGGAAGGTGGCGGACCCGCGCTTGACGAATCAGGTCTGATAGCGCGTTCCTTTTCCTTTCCTACGTGTCGTTATTTCTTATTAGACTCTCATTCAAGTTGAAAGTGGGGGAAAACTCCAAAGTCAGTGATTAGTTGTAAATAATAGAACTTAAGGACCTGTGCGATTGAACTTCTCTGGCAGGGGAGCTCTGATCAAAGCGCCCTCTAATTTGAGCGGGGTTTGTGTCTCGGGCAAAAGACTACATCTGCTCGGGGAGACGGCAATGAAGGAAGTTGAATAATTTAACTTTTTCATTTGTAAAGATAATCAGGCCGCTCGGAATACATCGCCGGGCCTCATAAATGTTGAATAACCTATCAGCCTCCAGTTGCTGTAAATTATGAAAGGCGCCAGTGATGGGAATATTAACAAAGCGCCCATGCCAGGCCCGCGGATCTCTCACTCGGAATGTGTAGTGGCAGACTTTCCGACGGTGTGAGAGAGCGGGAGAAATCAGCGGAAACGTCGCCTTTGCACACTAGGAATCTCTGGTTTACAAACAATGCGGTTCTCCATATTGCAGGACATTTGTTTTTGAGTCAGCCACACTGGAGATAACTCATGGTGCTTTTTGTGCACCTAGATTCAGTCAGTTTAAACCTGATTAAATTTCAGCCAATTATATCACTGGAACTCAGGGATGCCACTGCTATCCACAACCAGACGTCCACAAGAGTGCAATTAACCATGAAAATTACAGTGTAATGCTGAACAAGCAAGCATGTCCTGGACATCATGTAAACAGAACTGAAAAAGTTAGCTAAGCTGTCTAATGGTGGCAGAAGGTGAAGTGCTGGACTTTGTGGAGGAACCATGTGTTGACCATACTCACTTTGCAGTGTAATAGAAACATCTACTGTATACCTTGACTCAGTGAACATACATCCTCTATATAGTTGTACACTTACAGACTGTAGCCCATCTGTTGATAAGGCCTTATTGATAAGACAACAAGGCCATGGTAGTGCATTTGGTGCTGGTGCAAGGATGTCAGAGACACTGCTGATGAAGGGACAGAGCAGCTTGTCTGCCGAGGGTCATTTAGGCTGCAGGTTTTCGTTCCACATAAGCTGGAGCTCACCTGATTCTACTCATCAAATCAGTTGGTCTGCAGCCACCTTTTACAGGTAAGATTGGGCATCCCTGGGCTAGAAGATGGCTAACAATGTGCATGCCAACAAATGTCAGAAGGGTCTGGCTGCAGATGTGCACTTTCAGCCTGAAGTGCACCGCCAGCCTACCGATGACGTCAGCGCCGCTCTGCCACAGCAGTGTTTTTGTTGGTTTTATGAGGAAAAACGGTGAAACATGAACTGCTGGATCACAAGAGCTACATTAACTGTATATTAACATTGTCATACTGATAATAAGATAATTAAATATGGAAACTTTCAAAATAAAACCTTCCACAATGATCAGACATGAGTGTCGGGTTTATTTGCAAAAAACAAAAAGGCTACTGAAACTCATGAAAGCCACACTGAAGGCGAAGAACCGCTTATCAAAACTGTAATATTGATTAAAATAGAACTTATGCTAGATGGTTGTGACAGCGTACAGTCAACGCAGTACCGATTACTTTTGCTGTCTCATCAATGTCGTCACAACTTCCTAGAAAGTTGTCAGACAACGCTGTCATAACTTTCTGAGGAATTACATTTGAACATTGTGACAATGTAGAAAAGCACCAAGCAGACGATGCTGTGGGCACCGAAACAGTCACAACGTCACAACGTAACTGTGTTTGCAGGGCCGTTAGGAGTAAAACCTGATGGTTTTGCTTCCTAATGGGAACTGCCTTGATGGTTGCCATTAGGAAACAATCAAATGTACGTGGAATTAGTCTCAAAACACCTGATTAAACGATCAGAGTCCTTTACACTGTGATATCAACCCATCAGGAAAACACAGAATACCATTAGCGACTACTGGACACCACCAGGAACCAACAGACACTTTTAATGGGTTCTATGAATTTTTTGAACAGGGAGGTTCGTTAGATGTAACTCTCTAACCGTGTTATGGATGAAAAATGGATCAAATGATGATGTCACTAAGCAGAAGCAGCCAAAAGTCACCGTGCCGTTGGGCTGCTTCTTCTGTTGTGGCAGAGAGTGCCTGTGCACGTGACGTCACTGGGGCTGAGAGTGCATCTGACTGAGAGTGCAGGTCTGCAGCCAGACTCTATTGGCAAATGTGCTACAGTCTTGGACCCTGTATATCACTGGGACCTGCCAGCGGGTCCAGACCTTTATTACACACTTTATTACCTTAAGAATAAGACTTTGCATTGCTTTCCATGTAGTTACAGAATAATAATCTTCAAGATGCAACAGGCCTGGGATCTTAAGAGGAGTCCTACATCATAAAGGAGACCTACGATGGAAACTGTTCATTAAAACTGAACTAGAATTAACTATGATCAAAAAAAAGGTCTCCTGATGTTCTGTGATCTTGTTCAGTGAGGAGTTTGTGTTTCTATAACATAGCTGTGTTTGTGTATGTTCTCAGGTGTGTACAACACCAGTCTTCCCATTGAATATAATGTACTGCTGAACGCCGGTACAGAGCGTCCCCTCTTCCGCCCGGCCGGCTCGGACCAGTTCCTGCTGCTCGATGGTCTCGACCCGTACACGACCTACCACATCAGAGTACAAGCCTGTCAAACAGGTACCAGTTTATATGGACCAGAATCACTCACCGGCTGCTTTTTACAACCCTCTACAGTTATAACTGTTGTTTTGCTATGTACTGAATTTACATTACACACATGTTCATATGTAATTATGCAACTACTTATGTTAATTACATAGTTGTTACATAATGAATTATATTTACATTTGATTTACATTCTGTATTGATGCTCCTCTGCCTTTTTCATGTTAATTTCGATGTTGAAAAATGACAAAAAAGTAGCATTGAGACTGTCATCAGTTAGTCCCCAGTGATGCCACAGTCATCCATGAGTCCAAGAGAGCGGAACTGGCCTCTCTCTCCGCTTCTCCCCCATCCCTCAGTGCCATAACTCAAATGGCATTTACTGTTCTCCTCCAAGAGCGTTCAGCTGTCCAGTGACCTTGTGTTACCAGTAGTTTGAAAAGGAGGGGTGACACTTCACATTTCTGGAAAGAAGCATGTGCCGGTCTTCACCCTTTCAGCTTGATAGCATCACATGTTAGGGGGAGATCTAGCTAACAGGTGGAAATGGACATTTTGGAGAAAATCTGGGTTTAAAAAAAACAAGATAAAAACGTGGCTTACATGGCTACTTACAAAAAAATATATACATTAAAGAAAGTTTAAAATGCTCACTTTAAATATAATATCAAGGTTGTCGTGAGCAGCAAATGAGAAGTAATTGGACAAATTAAAAGGAGGCAACACATGACAGACCTAGGAGGGGTAACTGATCCGATGGCAAGGCTATTCTGTTGGTCATGTGCAGCCTGGACTGTGCAGTAACTTTCTGTGACTCAGCAAAGCGCATGTGTGTCCATGCAGATGGTTGTGGGGTAGGCCCTGGGGTCTCTGTCCGGACATCTGAAGCAGCCCCCCAGGCCCTGGACCCTCCTGAGCTCAGTGCAGCTGGATCAGCAGTTATTGAAGTGCGCTGGAGTCCCCCACGCAAACCCAACGGCCTGATCACAATGTACTTCATATACAGGTAACATCCATACATCTTATACTCAAATGCCCAACTTAGTTATGCTGAGTGCTAGTATACACTCATATGCAAAAGTTTGTGCACCCCAAGTCATTTAATGCACACTTACTGTTTATTTGCTGGATTTAACTAAAATGTGATTGTGCAAAACATCAGAAATTTTATCTATCTATCTATCTATCTATATATATATATATATATATATATATATATATATATATATATGTGTTAAACTCAGTGAATAAATAGAAATTACGCACATAACATTTGCAGAAAAAGATATTCCAATATGTTCCCTATTTTCTGAATCATTGGATAGGTAGACATAGTCATGTTAAACAGTGCACTGTATAGAAACTAACCACTGTAGATTTCTTTACAGTGGTAGTGACAGGATTTTGTCACTGATTTCTGTAAACAACCCACATGTTCCCAGTATGGCTGATTATGCAAATGAGCAAGATTTACTATTCAAGAAATCCGAATAACTATAGAAATTAGAAGTAAATCCGTAGCTCTTAGGACTGTGTTGTATAAGCATGTATTGAAAAGCATCTGAACATGGCGTAGCGGTATCAGGGTATAACATTAAACAGTAATTACTCCTTGACCTTGGGGTGAACAGGCCAATCACCGTTGGTCACACTTGTCAGCGTCTGCTCCAGCTTGCAGTGGAGGCCAAATCAGCTATATGCAGAGTGCTTATATGTGGATATCAAAGCTACGTGAGTGAGGCACACTCAGAGAGAGAGAGAGAGAGAGAGAGAGAGAGAGAGAGAGAGAGAGAGAATGATTGCTGCAGTAGTTCTGATGGGCAGCTCTAAATGGAAGCTGACACGGCCCCGCTGACTTTGATTATTCCAGGCACACTCCGAGCGGCTAGAAAGAGCGATATGACATAGGATGCCGCGATGCGTCCGCCTGGCGCTGAGCGAGGGAAGCTTACACTGACACGGCACAATCACATCAGCGTCAGAGGGCACTGCTGCCACCGCTCTGTTCAGCGACAGTGGAGGAGCCGGACATCAGAGACCTGCTAACTCCATCATTATGCTCTCCGTCTCTCTCTCACATAGACACACAGGTCTTGCTCTTGCTGTATGTCTTCCCATCCCGTCCTTGTAAAAACCCACAATCTAACATGCTTCAGTTTTGCACTGAAGCTATGAGGGTAATGTAACTCACAGCTGGTGGAAGCTTATTGCCAGTGGTTAGCATTGTGTGGACTGCATGCCTAAATCAATTTGGGTGCGGCTGCCTGGACCTTTACTGTAAAGTCATTTTAGAGAAACTCAACTCAACCGTGGCAACATGATGTGACCAGTATATCCTCTCACATGACCTTGCTCAAACTCAAACACAACAGAAACATTCTGAAGCATCCATAAAAATGTGGAATTTTCTGAAATTCATGTTGGATGTAATAGAAGAGACACACCGGCACAAACACTGAGCCTCACTGCAGTGCAAGAGAAAAACACGCACAGGAGTTCAGGAGGTCAGCCTGTGAATGCAACACTCATTTTCCCCAGTATATAACAACCCCATTTCCAAAAAAGTTGAGATGCTGTGAAAAATGTAATGAAAAACAAAATGCAATGATGTGCAAATCATTTAAAGCCTATATTTCATTGAAAATAGTACAAAGACAACAAATCAAATGTTGAAAAATATTTGCCCATTTTGAGTTTGATGCCATTCCCAAAAAGTTGGGATGGGAGCAACAAAAGGCTGGTAAAGTTGTGTAATTCTAAAAAAACACCTGGTGGTTAATTGGCAACAGGTCAGTAACATGATTGGGTATAAAAGAGCATCTCAGAGAGGCGGAGTCTTTCAGAAGTAAAGATGAGGAGGGGTTCACCACTCTGTGAAAGACTGCACCATCAAATAGTGCAACAATTCAAGAATAACATTTCTCAACATAAAATAGCAAAGAACCTTTTCTTCTCATCATCTACGGTACATAATAACATTAAAAATTAATCTGGAGAAATCTCTGTATGTAAGGGACAAGGCCAAAAACCAGTATTTACTGGCCGTGATCTTTGGGCCGTCAGGCAGCACTGCATTATAAACAGACATGATTCTGTAGTGGAAATCACTGCATGGGCTCAGAAACACTTCTGAAAACCACTGACTGTGAACACAGTTCATCACTGCATCCACAAATGCAAGTTAAAACTCTAAAACACAAGGTAGAAACTGTACATAAACAGGATCCAGAAATGGAAAAGTGTCCTGTGGTCTGACGAATCAAAATTTGAAATTCTTTTTGGAAATCATGGACACTGTGTCCTCCGGGCTAAAGACCACTCAGCTTGTTATCAGTGCACAGTCCAAAAGCCAGTATTCATGATGGGTGACGTGCACATCTGTGAAGGCACCATTAATGCTGAACGATATATACAGGTTTTGGCAACATATGCTGCCATCCAGACGACGTCTTTTTCAGGGAAGGCCTTGATTATTTCAGCAAGACAATGTCAAACCACATTCTGCATGTATTACAGCAGCACTGCTCCATATTAAAAGAGTCTGGGTGCTAAACTGACCTGCCTGCAGTCCAGACCTGTCACCACTGACAACATTTGGCACATTATGAAATCAAAAATACGACAAAGACCCCGAACTGATGAGCAGCTGAAATCCTGTGTCAAACAAGAACAGGAAAACATTTCACTTTCTAAACTACAGCAGTGTCTCCTCAGTTCCCAAACGCTTACAGAGTGCTGTTAAAAGAAGAGGTGAAGACGGTAAACAAGCCCCCGTCCCTGCTTTGTTAGAATGTGTTGTTGGCATCAAATTCAAAATGGGTGTATCATTACATCAAATAAAATTTCTCATTTTCAACATTTAATACAACCTCTGTTCTTATTGAAATATTTCACTTACTCAGAGAAACACCATGCACTAAGAAGCTTTCTTTCTGAGCTCTGGCTTTTCCTCTCGTAGTATGCAGGTGACTGTAAACCATTCCCATCCTCGTCTCCTCTCCCAGTGTGTCTGCTAGCGTGAGGGGCTTTAGTCAAGGGCAGAGTGGCGTGTTGACCAATGTCATCCATATGCGAGGTCAGAGAAGCTGAAGCCGGTGTAAATCTTGAAGAAATATCATTAGCATACCCGCAGAGGCCCCGGTGTTTAGAGCGCGCGTGGTTGGATTTGATTTGAGCCTCGATTTGGGATCAGATGAACGCGGACAAATATGATATGTACACCCGGCCCATAGAGGGTCCGCAGAATCCACTGCTGGCTTTAAAAGACTTGATATGTCGCAGTGCCTGTTTATTGTAATACCCCCAGATCAACATTACATTAAATACAGATCCCTTCCGTTTATCCTGTGTCGTCTCCCTGGGGGTCTGTTATTTGTCCTTCATACGTGTGAATTACAAATGAAAAGACAGAGTGGGGGGGTTTATTTGGGTAGCCTCTGACTACGGTAGAGAGTTAAGATACGAAAGGTTGGTTTCTGATCACTTCACAGTAGAGCTGGGCGATATGGACAAAAATGTTATCACGATAAACAAAACTCATATCGTTCGATATCGATACATATCGCGATAAATGTCAAATCATGATTTCTTTCAAGTTTGAAGGCTGATTTTTGCTCCTGAGTGGTTAATTGTGGTTTTAAACTCTCACTTATGGTCCGATCATGACAAACACTCGGCAAACATTTCACAAATCTGTCATGGAAGAGTGGGAGAAAGTTTCTGATTAGCTGTTTCTAACCAGCTGGAAAAGCACGGCTGCAATTTTTGTAATAATCATACTTTAAGAAAGAAAACAGATTATTTTAGCTGGCTGGTGACGAGCGCTCGGCTACCCCGTTACAAACGCTAAACAAGTGGCCAACAACAGTGCTAAACTCTTTAGTTTCTCAACGTCAACTTAGTACAACAGCAGACAATAGCTGTTTCGGTAGGTCAGTGATGGATCACACCGCCTCACTGCCATCCCTCCCATCACATCCATGTCAGAGCACATCACAGGATTCAGACACCAGCTAGCGACGACTGGGGTTCTCTATCATAGTAGTTTGAGGGGTGAGCCACAGTATATCTGACACTCACTGTGTAAAAACATTAACTGCAGTGTGAATCTCTCACACCAGACAGACACAGCCTCCTTTTCAGTGCTTTTGTGTCTTGTTTGATCTACAGTGTCACTGATCTCATCACTCAGGAGAGCAGATCGCCAGTCGCTCCACTCAAACAGGGAATGTGTAACTCCACGTTTCAGACGTTGCTAAAGTATATTTGGTGACTGATTTCGCTGGTTGCCCCCTCCCTCTCTTATCATGTCGAAAAACTCAGAAGTGCACCCTCTCCTGGCGACAGCAGAGTAGAGTCGCTTTCCTTGCAGTAGAAAACGCCACCAGGGCTGCCGCTACAACGTGGAAGTGTGAGAATGGTGTATTATATAGGAAATTTGTTGAATAGTTTTTATAGTTATATCGAGAAAAGTTATATCGCGGTAATTATCATTATCGTTTAATCACCCAGCCCTACTTCACAGTTCTTAGGAACTTGCTACAAAGTCCTTACTAAAATTATATACATCAGACTTTCCAGAATGTGTGTCTGATGCTCTTATAAGAAAACACTCAGCGCTGTGTCGATCTTTTTTTTTCAGTGTGAGAACATATACACTCTTAAAAAACGGTGCCGCAGAGAGATCTTTCAACAACCATAGAAGAACCACTTTTGGTCGCCTAAAGATCCAAAGTTTGAAAAAGAGATGTGTGAGTGTGAAGAACATAATCTAAAGGATCTATACCATTATAAGGGTTATGTTACATTATGTGGAGGTTCATTAAAATTTAAAAGGTTCACACTTTGTCTCAATCACAAAATGGTTCTTTGAAGAACCGCCCATTGGAAGGTTTTCAGGGTAGCACAAATGGTTCTTCAGTGGCAGCCTTTTGGCACCTTTATTTTTAGGAATACAATGTGTAAATATCAGAGATCACTGTTCATTAATACTGAACAGCTATTAAGTACAGATCATTTTTCAGGCTTTATTACAGCTTCCATTGTTTTCAGGAGACTTGCGTTCAGGATATTTTTCCACAGCTCCAAAGTTCAGTCTTACAATTTGGTTGTATTTTCTTTTTTTCTTGTGATCCATCTAATCCCATTCTGTGATGTTGAGGTTTGGACTCTGGGGTGGTCAGTTCATTGTTCTGAGAAAACCAGCAGCTTCTTTGTTTATTTCTCTATTTCCTTTTCTGAGTATCAGTTTCTTTGACAGCTACACATCCTTTCAGACCCACAGCGCTGAGTCGTCTTCTCACAGTGGAAGGATGGACAGAAACACCTGTGCAATTTTTCCAGATCTGAAACAAAATCTTTTGCTTTTCCCCTTCTTTATGCATGAGGACTGTCTTATATCTAATCTCCTCATAAATGAAAAATGAAAAACATATATTGAATAGCTATTTTGACTGGAAACTGAATAAGTGAAGGAGGGTGATCTCTGACATAGATTCATTCACACATATAATCCACTTTGCTTCCTAGAATTGCATTTTGTATTCCAGTCATGTTTCATTCAGCTTGTGTATCAGCATGTGTGTTTGTGTGTGTGTGTGTGTGTGTGTGTGTGTGTGTGTGTGTGTGTGTGTGTGTGTTTGTGTGTGTGTTTGCAGGCTGCTGTTCTCAGCTGTGTGCTGTAGTTTAGAGGCACAGTGTACGTATTTGCTCTCCCCTGCCGGTCACTGTTTGTGTTGATTTGAATGCAGTGGGTAGGATTAGGGAGTGGCGGGACGAGTGGGGCCGGCAGGGGCCACATTAGCCGAGCCGAATGTCATTTTCTGCAGCAGCATGGAGGCCCTGCCTCTAATGTGGGGGAATTAACGAAGCTTGCCCTGCACAGAGCACAGCGCCATGCCCCTGCTTTCACCTCCTCCTCCGCCGTCTGCCTCTCTCCCACCCGCAGGTCAAGTGTTGTGCTTTGGACCTGGACAGTGATTTAAGTAAAGCAGAAATATCCACAATGCATTGTATAATACACTCATAGAAACTTAGAGGAAATAAATAAATAAATACAGTAACTTGTCTGACAGAATCTCACATCCTATTTACCTTTTATTATAATGTGTCTCAAAGTGGACAAGAAGATTATATTCATTTAGACCTGGCATTTCCATGGTTCTGGGATGCATCTGTAGTGACCACTTGTGATGGGATTTCTTGACCAGAGAAAGAGTTCAGCACACATTTACTGGTCTAGTCTATATTCATCAGCATCAGCATTGGGGGACAGTCATGGGCTGGAGGTTAGGGAACCAGCCTTGTGACCGGAAGGTCGCTGGTTCGATCCCCTGAGCCGACAGTACGTGACTGAGGTGCCCCTTGAGCAAGGCACCTAACCCCCAACTGCTCCCCGGGGGCTGCGGTAGGGCTGCCCACCGCTCCAGGCAAGTGTGCTCACTGCCCCTAGTGTGTGTGTTCAGTAGTGTGTATGTGGTGTTTCACTGCATGGATGGGTTAAATGCGGAGGTGAAATTTCCCCGTTGTGGGACTAATAAGGGTCACTTAATCTTAATTTATGGTCTGTTACAAACGTTTGGATGGCATGGACTGCCAACGCAACTTAATACAATTATGAAATATAAGCAATCATAACTACAGAAAGAAACTGTGCAGCTGCTTTCATTTGTGCTGTGATGACAGAGTTGACAGAGTTGGTTAAGCAGTCCTTGGTTCTTGGCATCGAGACGCTTTAGCTTTTATGCTACACACGTAGCTCAGATCAAACTTTTAGTGAGGTCCATTTTGCAGAAAAGTGACCCACATCACACGGTAAATAAACCAACTGCTGACTGTGTAGAACAACAGTTGTCAGGTTCACCTTTAGATCAATTCATTGCTCCCTGTGTTTTACATAATTATGTACCATTTTTCTTACATTTGTTCAATTCCTTCGGCTTCATTCTTCCATGAACTGCAATAAGTTCCATAAACTGATTTGACTCTGATTAGCTGACAAAACGTGTTGAAAATTACATACACTAAAGGAGATGATTATCTCTGTCTGTCTTTTTCTCTCCTGCGGTTCTCACTGATTACTGAAAAAGCATACATTAAAATATGTTGGTTTCTACCAAACCCTTACAGTTAACAGAGCATAATGCAGCCTAATGCAGCCTAATGCAGCGGCTGATTTCTTAATTATGTTTCGTGATACTCTGCCATCAGTATGCTAGCTAAACTTTCTCATGCCTTTTATAGTGTTATGTGTGGGAAACACAACTTTGAATTGCTGTCAACTTCTCATCTGAATGCTAATAAAGGCAACTACGGAGCTTAAGCAGATACTGGAACTCGACTAAAACATGCTGATTAAGCTGGCAAGCCAAGCTGGTTCAGTGTGAGTGTTGGACTCCGCCAAGGTTGTGCTTTGTCTCCACTCCTGTTTGTGATATTCATGGACAGAGTGTCAAGGCATAGCTGAGGTCAGGAGGGCATTATGTGTGGAGGCCGGAGGGTGGTGTCTCTGCTATTTGCAGATGATGTTGTCATTTTGGCTCCATCCATGGATGCCTCCAGCACTCACTGGAGCAGTTTGCAGCTGAATGTGAAGCTTTTGGCATGGAGATCAGCACTGCCATGTTCCTAGCCTGGAAAAGGATGGCATGCCCAGTCCAGGTGAGGGGAGAGTAGCTGCCCCAGGTATAGCAGTTTAAGTATCTCGGGGTCTCGCTCACGAGTGATGGGAAGAGGGATGGTGAGATCGGCCGCAGGCTGGGACAGGCGGCAGCAGCAATGCGGTCACTGTACTGGGCTGTAGTGGTGAAGAGGGAGCTGAGCCATAAGGCAAAGCTCTCTGTTTACTGGTCGGCCTGTATCCTGACCCTCACCTGTGGTCATGAGCTTTGGGTAATGACCGAAAGAATGAGATCATGAATACAAGCGGCGGAAATTAGCTTTCTTCGCAGGGTGGCGGCTACACTCTACTTGACCTGATCAGGATGCCCCCTGGACGCCTCCCAGCGGAGGTTTACCAGGCATGGCCTACTGGGACGAGACCCGGAGGTCGTGCTAGGACCTGCTGGAGGGATTATATCATTGGCTTGGGAGCAGCTCGAAATGAGCTGGAGGAAGTTCTGGGGGACAAGGTCATCTCTGCTCTCCCAACTGCTACCATGACCCGATCTGGATTTAGCAGTTTGAGAAGATGAAGATGAAGTATGTGTGTTGTGTACCTGTACACTCTGGGTAAAAAGTGGGCAAATAAAATAAAATAATTTAAAATAATGGGTAAATATATGGCCAAACCACAGCTGTTCTGAGGTCAGCTGAGAACAAGTCACTGCTGTTTGGGTAGGCTTGTTGCTCTTTCCTCACTAGATCTCATAAAACTCTTACAATACAACCAAGGTCCTGACATCAGCGCCCTCATGCTTGTTACATGACCTTTCATGTCCCTGACCACCTTCGAAGGTGATTTGAGTGTTTAGATCACAATTGGTCTCCAGGACACATTGGACAGTGTTCAATGTCCACTCATTATTGGATCATGCTAATGCCATGTGTGAACAGGGCCGTAGTTGACCTCTGCCCAGTTTCCCGAAAGCACCTTTGTGTTTAAATCATTGTAACTAGTGGAGAGGATGTTTGGTGCGATGCTCGCTCTACCTTTTAAGAATTATCTTTGTGCTAAAATGCTTTCAGGAAGTCCAGCCTCAATCAGTTGACTGGATTAAGTAGCAGCCTCTTATCTGAGTTTGTATTGGCTTCTACAAGTTAAAGAGGATGGTGTTATTGTCAGATATTTGAGGGCATTGTTTTGTGTCATCATTCAGAAATAAGAGATGTGACCCACAACTAAGGGCGCATGTGCATTTCCATGGCTTATAACCATCACTCTCCCCCTTTTTTGCATGCAGACGGCCAGTTGGAACGCAGGAGGAGCTTCTGGTGTTTATCTGGACTGAGGGTCCTCTGGAGTTTATCGACGCCTCCGACTCCCTCCAGCCGTTCACTGAATATGAGTACAGAGTCATTGCCCACAACTCACAGGGCTCCGCCTCAAGCTCCTGGAGCTCTATCCTCACTCTGGAGGCGGAGCCACAGGGCATGGACACACCCAAAGTGTGGCCCAGCAGCGCCTACTCCATCTTGCTGAACTGGACCCAGCCCACTAAGCCCAATGGACTGATCTCCAAGTACAAGATAGTGTGCCAGAAACAGTCCAGAGACCCCACACTCAACTCCACTCCGGTCACAGCCCTCACAGTGCCGGTAAGACACTTTCATAAGTACGAATGTTTACTTATTTAACCGTCTTTCAGATTTGATGAAAGTTGGCTGTGAAAAGTTATGGCTTAACATTACACAGAGAAGGTGGTCATGTTTAAGCCAACACATCAATCGGCAGCAAGACAGCAAGCAAAATAGCACTTAAGCTGTTCTAGAAGAAATGTTGTTTAAGTCTTGTTTTATTTATTTTCCTGACCACCTCTGCACTCTTTTATTATAGTTATTGAACAAATCACTGTTCAATGGCTGATTTCATTTGTAGCAAAGGCTTAAAATACATAAAATACGAAAAAAACAGAAATAGTGATTTTTGTTTTTTTCAGACACTTACAGATCAGACTGCTGTAGATATGTTTCACATTTGTTGTAGAGAATTGGCTAAATAGATTGGGAAACCCATCATTGATTTCTCTGTTTCAAATGGGTTACAGCCAGAGTTGTGAGACGTGAAATGCTCCATTCTAGACAAAGTTACCAAGTCAGAGCTCACGATGGTGGTGATAGGAACCAGAATGTTTAATGCCTCTAAAAGCTTACTGAAAAGTTATCATCCTACACGAAGTGTTTCCAAAAAGAATGCGTCCTGCCCAAGACATTGTTACACGCTAGTTTTAAGAGGTTTTCACCTAAAATGCACGGCAGAAAAAACAAGGTTTTGTAAGAAAAAATAGTACAGAAAGAGACGGCTAGGCGTTTAATGAAAACACAATGTTGAAAATACGCTACAGAACTACAGTGATGAATACAGTAAAATTGGAGGAAAAAGGAAACGTGAGCATTTTTAAAGGGACAGTATCGTGGAAGACTGAAATTTATTAGCTTTTTTTTTTTTTATATAGTTTAATATAGTGAACACATTACTGACGTTTCAAAACATACCATTGACTCTCCTGCTTATACAGTCTATATATGAAAACTAAGCTGCAAAAACAGCCTATTTTGAATACATTATTCTGTGATGTCACAAAAACCAGAGCATTTGCCTATACCAGTCTAATTCAGACAGAGTTTACCACACTTAAGCTGAAGTTAAAAGTAGTGTTTCAGCCCAGTCAGCTTTTTTCTCCCAAATCTTTTTATTGCATTTTGTAGAGCCACAAACATTTTACATTATGCAAGTGCAACTGCAAAAAGTATGTTCCTACATCTACCCCTTCGACCATAACCCACCCACCATCCTAGAAGCCATCCTTCCCAGTAAAGCTGCTCCTGGGGATCCAACAGAGATAAACTAGATATCTAACAGGGCAAGAGTGGTCCAACAACTTGTCGTGATTAAGAGCCGCCTCTTCTGCCCAGGGTCTGGACATTTATAAGTATCTCTAATATTATCTATACGATTTGCCCTAATAACTGTCGGTAATCGAACTTCTTCAAAAAGAATTAAAAGAATCAAAGAATGTCTACAAAAAAGGAGTGAAAGAGACTTCAGCCGCTGAGTTCCTGTGGAAGGAAGGAAAAGGCCTTCGCTTAATTGAGCATCAAATGGCAAGATGGTTCCCAGTCAACCACAATGGGAATATCATCTCAAAGCATCCCTTTTTATCCGCCTCTGAGGTGATGAGGTAATCTCCCCACCCTATTTACACAATTCTGTACCGTTTTAGTCCCCATCATGTCCAAACCCTGCACCTTTTTTGGTAACCTTTAAAACCCAAACGCGTATGATGTCTTTTTCTAAACCCACTCTGATCCAGCTGTGCCAGGCTGTTCCCTCATTACAGGGCCCTCTTACACAACTTCTCCATATAAGTTTGGGAGTTCACCTCAGCTATAACTCACACTGTCATCTGGTGTAATTCTCTTCTGTGAGTTCAAAGGTTCATCCCTTTCAGAGATTCCAAATGCATACAGTCCATAGTCTGCTACCCTATATTACCTTTTTAGGAGAGCTCCAGACTCTCTAGTCAGCCAATATTTCATTTATTGATTATTAATCAGGGAATGTTTTATTAAATCTTTTCCATCAAACTCTCAGTCCAGATCAATATGTAAATAATAAACTAGAATATGTGCAAAATGTACACAAAATGGACCCTTCAGAGTCTGACCAAATCAGACTGAGCCATAAAACTGACACAATATCAAGTTCAGCTCAGTTTTGTCAGTTTTTTCCAGATCAGTATTAATGTTGTTTTGTTCCAGCCAGTCTGTAAAGCATCTTACAGCCCATTTAGTTTGGCGAATGGTGTTGGGTTTATTTCTGGCTGATTCCAGGTTGTTCAGCTGTTCTTCTGTCTCAGCTGCCGACTGAAAAGCTGCTCAGTGGTGATGACAGTTTGGGAATTTAGTGTCGTCTCATCTTCAGAGTCTGACCAAATCGGTTGTCGGTCAAATGTGATCTTAAAACTGCCCGTTTTCTGTTCGTGGCAAAGTAAGAAGTAAAAATGTTCAAATGGCTTGAGCGTCTCCTACAGCTGTCAAAGTGGTTGCTTAGCAACAGCATCTCAGCGGAGTGATATAGTGTTGAAAAAACGTTAGAACAACCAATCAGCTTGCATGGCCAGAACTAACTGTTGTATAATAAAAGCATTAACCTATAAAAATTCCAAACAGTTCACTTTCATCCACTGCAGCTTCGGTCAAATGCTGAAAGTAACACAAAATGAACTGTTTCTCATAAGACTAATCTGATTACAGTCCTGCTGTCAGTGAAGCAGTGAGCCTTATATGCAGGAATGTCTTCGGAATTATCATCGGAATCATTTTACACCCGGTTTAATGTTGTTTGTGTGAGCGAGAAAGAGATATATGTAACCGTCTGTGTGCTGTCAGCAGTGCAACAAGCTCAGCTTTTACTGCTGACCTTTGTTTGCTGGTCATAATTTATATCAAATGTAAATGGTGCCCTTTAACCTGATTCATTTGAATTAAACTTTGGCCACAATCATTTATCAGTGACTTTTTTCCTCCCATTGCAAGGCAGCAAAGGCAACACAGCCTGCTGTATTTGGTGGAGGTTGTTCACTATGTGCTCCGTTTGCAAGTGTGTGGGTTGCAGTATGTGTAGAGTGCAGAGTTCAGAGCGCAGCAGATGTGTCCAGCTGAGCTTCAGCATCTGCTTAATGTATGCCTGTGTGCCCACTCTTTTTTCTCTCTTCCACAGCTGCCTTTAACCTTCGGTTCCAAGAAAGCTGGGACAGTTTGTGAAATGCAAATAAAAACTCAAAGCGGTGGTTTGTAAATCCACTTTGACCAGCATTTAAATGAAACTGTACAAAGGCAAAGTTTTTAATGTTTAACCTTCAAATTCATTGTTTTTTGGTAAATATACGCTCAATCTGACAGTGATGCCTCTAGACCAGGGGTGTCAAACTCAACCACTAAAAGAGCCATATTAAAAAATCTCAACAAATCCGTGGGCCACGTGTTTTTAGTGCTATAACCCGAGCTGACCACTTTTTCTTCAAAATACGCAAAACACACACAATATATATATATGTATGTATATAACGTTTTTTAGTTTTTGACTTAAAATGTTGTCCTTTACATTGTGTGTGAATTTCATAATGAATGGACTAAAAGAAACAACCCCAAATGATATATATATATATATATGTATGTAATGTATATCAGAATGAGCATATTGGAATACATGTACAACAAAACCCAAAAATAAATCGTTACATATCATTTTTAGTACTGTTTTTATTTGAATATCAGTTGAATACAGGCCTAACAAAATTTAGTAATCACCACTTCTTATTTTTATTAGCGTTATTTTTTTTTATTTATACTCCTTGATCATGTTGTCCCAATTTCTTATTTTGGAATTGAATTAGTCCATCTGAAATATCTAAACTTCTTTATCTAATATAATAACTTTATACTACATGCAAAAACATTCTTATTTTTCATGTCTGTTACATTTTTTAAGAGTAATTTTGGGCCATTTCTCTTGGCTCATACATCATAAAATGTTCAGACAAAGTAAAAGGACATCAGGATTTTCAAATGCTGTTAAAAATGTAATAATAATTTAGGAAGTTTTGCTAAAACAGCTCTGATATGCTCCTTTCCAACCTTGAGTTTTTTCTCTGCCTGGTATGAATATGCAGACAGTGAGCAAAGGCCACCATTCCAGCTCGGTATGTTTATAGCTGTGGCACTATAAATCCACAAGTTCAGATCAAATAAAATATGAGAACATCTATCTGTAATCAGCACCACCGCTCTCATGTTTGAACCAGTCCTTCATTTCCTGACACCTCACACACCTATAAATGTAGCCCAGGTAATTCATGACAGTCTTCTGTTTGTCCCAGTGGAGAATAGCAGGCTGCTCTCTGCCTCACAGCAAACAAGGGAAATGAAGAGCTCAGAGTCACAGAACCAGCCAGGTGCACATGCATTTGTAAGGAGTTTGTCGTAGTAGAATTGAGGCAAAGGCACACGGACAAGACGGAAAACAAACAGTACAAAGTCACAACCTCAAAGGATGTTACACCCACCCCTCATTTATTTCATTTACAGTCAAAACTATCATTAGTTCCTTTTCACAGTAGCCAAAAATGCACTTTACACTTGTTTTAGTCCTTTTTTGGTCCTTTTTTTTCCAATGATGCCATTCTTTAATAAAGTTGATGCAATATATTTTGATAGAAATGTGTCAGATTTACAAAACCAGAAGTGAACTGAATTTTCGAGCGAGCAAGTCTATAAAAGGATTTTTACTGTTTAAATGCAATTTTTTTATTGTGGCAGTTTTATGATATCAAGCTGCGTTTGTGCAGTTTGTTTTATCTCAGAAGTGGTAAATTGAGGTGTGAATCGTCTTCACAGCAGAGAGTTCTCACCCCTCATAGCTCGCTAGCTGCTCAACACAGAGCCACAACATTTCACACACAGAGAGCCGACAGCATCCTGGATACTCTGAAAACAAAATGTTTTAATTGACATATGTATGTTGGCATATAAATCGAAGAGGAAAAACTTCCAAAACTATATATATATATATATATATATATATATATATATATATA